TGTTGAATTTTCTTAGCATGTAGAGATTTAAAATGCTATTGTTTTAAATTTTGTGTTAATTTTTCAGTCCCGAACAGCCACAAGCACATAGGCAATTTCACTATATAGTATGTTCAGTGTTCAATTATCAAGGCCTTAGAAGTTTATCACTAATTGAATCATGTCATCACTAATTGAATCAATAAGAAAGAAAAAAAATTAAACAAAGCTAAGATTGAGCCACATAAGGTCCTAACAATCCATTTCCTAGGGCCATTGATGATTATTCACCCCATATGCAAATAACCAAGAAGGTTACATGACCTTTCTAGGACAAAGAAAACCTCCTCCAAGGAGAAATTCTGTCATTTCCTCTACAGAAAGCAGCTGGCACATTCTAATTCTCATCAAATTACCAGGCCTGTCCAGAAAGTATCCAGCCAATATCGATATAATGAGAACATATTACATGGCTGAATACTTTCCAGACAGCCCTTGAAAACTAACAATAACACTGTAAATGGACAAGAAATGAAAAACAATAAACAGTAGTGATAATTATGTAGATGAGGTATGATTAGAGAAAGATAACTTGGATATATACAAATGATATTTGCATCTGAGATCAATGGCATTTTGAATATAAGAACCTAAATATTTTGATCTCTCTATATAAATATACAGAGAGAGCATAAGAGAAGTAATCTGCCTACCACAGGGAGTAAACCTAGACTTCTTTCTGTCAAGGTCTGCCTAATTTTCCTGCCATTCATTTTTACTTCTGTCTACAATTCCTTGCAGAAGGACCTTTTGGCCTTGCTCCAGTTTCCTGGCCTTCTCAGATGAGAAGAAGGTGTTAGTTAACAACTTGGCATAAAGCATTCTGCAACACAAGACACTGGTACCTCTAGATTTTCATTTTGCCTCTAAATCAAAGCTTCAGTCACCATGCATGTGTTTCTAGAGATGTTATACTTGCTAGTACCCCAATCCAGAGCCCATAGACCAGTTTTCACATGGAAAGAATTCACCCATGTAATCATCTCCACTCCTGATTCTGTAGCACCTGCTTCCCATGTCTATTTACTGTCCACCTTTCAGGGCTCTACTAAGACAACTCAGAATTCTGATGCCTATTTAAAATTACCATTATGCCTGCCTTGTCCTCTGGACATTGTGTCTGACTGCGGGTAGGCCAGCACTTAAGCATGATCTCCTGTCAATGCCAAACTCATTTCATCTTTTCTTTTCAGGCTATTTTTTTTTTAAATGGCACTCAAATCTCAGGATGTTACACTTGCTTGACAGGTACAAAATATGTGTTTAGGTAGGATCATAATCCATACAATCTTTCAATAATTCCTCTAGGTAAATTCATTTATTGATGACTTGTATGTATCATGTTCCCTTTTCTAGAAACAGAATTTAAAAAATATGATAAAAATGAATCTCTTGCTGTAATATTAGGAATTTTAGCTGAAATCTAAATCTATATATACATATATATAAGGCATTAAATGTATACATTGTATATCTACAAAATCCTTCCCTGCAAGAGAAACCTGAGTGTGTGTGCTATTTGAAAACATGGAATTCATGGAATATGTGAATTTCAAATGATGGTCCACATTGATTTGTCCTTATGAGTGTATACGGTTTCCTCCTTTCCCTCATGCAGATGCTACCCAGAATCCTGAAAGCAGAAAGAATACCTCTTTGAAGAATTGCCTTCTCTGTGCATTTTCTGCCACCAGCCACGCCCATGGCTGCTTGTCCTACCATCAGCTAGGATTGTCATTTTCCACGACATGATTTCAGTCTTCCCATGATAAATTGCAGCTTACTTGGCTTTTTCAATCCTTGCTCATTCCATGGAAAGAAGATTAATTTGTGGTTTTATAGCTGCCACCATTTTTTGTCTTTTCTTATTCTTTTTCTGGATTGAACAGAAAGCCATTACATCTTCCCACTGGATGACTAGGTCCCAGATAGTCCTCCAAAAATTTCTCCATTCACTCAGTTCTTGAATTCTTTTTCTCCTCCTAGACTTGTCATATACAACTATAATGTTAAATATCTAAAGTATGCTTCGATTTTGCTTAATATCTACCAGGAATAACTCCCACTAAAATAAAGTAAATGGAGGGCTTAAAAAACGTGATATGACCTGCATGTAAGTCACAAGTTTGATTTTTGGCACTTGTTGCTAGTGACTATAGTTTATGATCACTTAACAGATTTACCACAGTTAACATAGGTCAAAGGCTACAAACCAGTGATGGATTTAAAGTTAAATACATTGTCCCCTGCATAAACATCCACAGTCATCACCATAATATAGTCTAATCCAGGCATCCTCAAACTACGGCCTGCAGGCCATATGCAGGCCGCTTAGCACATGTATCTGGCCCTCCAGGTGTTTTTGCCGTCGCTGCCTGTCCTGCTTAGTAGCTGACTCGTTCCAGGCCCACAGTACACACTCTCCAACGGTCTGAGGGACAGTGAACTGGCCTCCTGTTTAAAAAGTTTGAGTACCCCTGGTCTAATCACTGTAATGACACAAAAAGAAGAAATAAAGATTCTCACCTCTATTAAAGTATTTTGTCTGGCACCTGGATGAGAATATGCTTCTTGTAATATTTTCCCCCAAGTCTCTCATTATTTCCCACTAGATACTGTCATTTGGAGATATTCCTGCTATTGTACATTTTCCTTAAGGTATTAAGGAAATAGTTATTAAGTTACTATTAAACTGTTTTAGGCCACCCTCAAACAATTCTTCTATCATATCATAATATTTCTAATCCCTTCAAGGATTAAAGGATGGTTTTCACTCCCTTCAGCCACATGTAATTTTTCCTAGATCTTTTGGTTACTTCTTTAATAACAATGTTATATTTTAATGTGTTATCTTTTAATGTGTGTTATATTTTAATGTTATATTTAATGTGTTATATTTAATGTGCTATTTTAATTAACCCCTCACAGTTAATAGGGAATTGCCTGCATTTATTTTCATATTCCAACTATGCTTCCTCTGGTCTTTGGGGGGAAGGTATTTTTGAAACTTGAAAAAAATTCTTCTTTGAGTCACATCCAACTAGCTACTAAGAATCCAAAGAGAGGAAAATGAAATTCTCTTTCTCCACCTCTGGAATTCAGCCTAATATGATAGAGTAGAAAACAACCATCTTGAGAAATATAAAGATATGAGTGGTTGAATGGAGATGTAAAATTCATCCATCCATGCAGATTAGTTGTTTAGATAAAACTGAAGTCAAAACACTTACCAAATAATGCATTCTTATAATTGGAACAAAAAGGACATGCATTTTTAAAGATCAGATGGCAAAGTTCAAAAGCACAGAGTGTTGGTAAATCCATAAGTCTCATATTCAGCTCAGATGAAAAAAATACAGAATGTTATGAAATAAAATATGAACAGAAAAATTGAGAAACTGAACAAACTTTTTAATAAGCTATGTCAGCTTGTATTGATTCAACAAATAGACTCAGCACTTCTGGTATATATTGTTATGTACTCAAGTATTAGTGAAAATAATTCACAGCCATAAAACCAATTAAGCCTTTTTACTGACAAGGACATCCTATGGAAAACTTTTAAAAAGAAAATAGCATGTGATGCATCTTATAAAAAATATTGTTGTAAGATTAGCAATAAATCTTTACTCAAAAATCTACCCTCAGTTATCAATAGTTGAAAATAATTTTTAGTTTGCATCCTGCATACTCATACTAACTGATATGCATAAATAATTTTATTCTTTTGATAATTAATAAAAATAAATCAACATGAGTTTTTCTGCACACATTTCTTTTAGGCAGTTGAAAGATGCTGGGTAATTTGGTTCAAATTTAGAAAGCATGCCTGTAGGTCTATGTGAGATTGTGTACATGTATAAGCAAAACATCTTGCTTTTTCAAATTACTCCTTCAGTTTGGATAATGAGGTGGTTTTTCCAATTTATGTTACCACAAAATTGAGGCTACCAATTTTCTTGTAAAGGAAATGTTAACCTTTTTAAATATGAACTACCAATCCCATTTTTTTTCAGTTTTATAATAAAATACAATGTGCCAATTTGCAAAGTAGGTAACAGACTCCATTGTTTAATTTTTATTTATCAGCATAAATAATGCGATATGTGCAAGTGAATTGAAATTTATAAAAAGTGCTTGTAAACAATGATATGTTACTGAAATAAAAGGTTTATTTGGGTTTCCTCCTGTTGGTTTCATGGGCTATCAACGTATAAGGCTTCTAATAATTTGAGATATCTTGATCTTTTTCTCAAAATATTTATTAATGCTTAGCTATTTAAAAACGATGTCAATGAGAAAGGTAATTTTATTAATCCATACAATGTAGTGTGAGCTCATGAGTAGGTCAGAGAATTGGTGATATCCTCAGATGAGATATTTGTTTATTAGATTGGGATGCTTAGCAGAAAAGGGTGATATACTGGATTAAATTTTTGTAAGAACACAATTTTTCAAGAAGAAAATAAACATTCAGTGCTCTTTTTGTTATATGTGAGTTTCTCTATATTCTGCCCTTATTTTAAAAATCCATGATATAGATTTTGTAATTTTTCAAGAGTTAAGACTTTGCAGCTTAATTTATGTGATTATCAAGAGAAACTAATCAGCAATTGGACAACTTTGTGGAAGAGATTTTATCAAGCTTAAGAGGGCAAAATTTAAGAGGATACAGAATTTCATCGCAAATATCTTTCAGTCAGCAGAAGCTCTTATTTAAATTGGTCAGGCTTCCTGAAACACTTGAACAATTATAAAAATCACAAATTAATGTTATACTTACAATATGAGGAGCTCAGAACCATTTTAACTCTCATTCAGAATATCAACTCCTTTTCAGCCTTACCTAGTTGTTAGCCACATAGTGTAGAACTGAAAAACTGTGATTGCAGAGACAAAGTGAAACACCTGATTCTCTGTTCTACACAAAGCCACTTCTCATTTCAGACATAGCCGCTTACACGTTTTTGGGTGTTGCCAATGCAGGTCTCCTGTCTGAGGGTTTTCTACCACCAATATCCATTGCCTAAAAATAATTCAAAATGGTGAATATGAAATATGTATATATTCTAAGTTACTAAAAAAAATCCATCGTAAGTTTGTCATAAATATCAGAACTTGTCAAAAATAGCAGTGTGCCCCATTTCCCCCCTTCTTTCTCCCTCTAGTCTCTTCCTTCTTCTAAGAGCCTGGTTTCTGATGATTTTAAGGGTGAGAATGAAGAACTTACATTATATCATTACACAGTAGTTACAATAGTAGCCAAGAGAAAGGCTGTCCTTTTAGCTTAACATAAAACTGACAGATTAGTCAGTGAGATACTCAGACCCATCCTATAAGTAATGTGAGTAAAGTGGGACTTAAAGGACCAGAAGTGGAATCTGTACAGAAATGATTACAAGCTAAATAATACATAAACATAAAGCATAATCACTTTTTCCAGCTTTATTGAGGTATAATTAACAAATAAAATTGTATGTATTTAAGGTACACATTGTGATTCTTTTAAATATGTATAGAAGGAGGTCTGTACAGAAAGTATCCAGCCACGTAATATATTCTCATTATATTAACAATGGCTGGATACTTTCAGGACCGACCTCATACATTAAGAAATGATGACCACAATCAAGTTATTTAACACATCCATCATCTCACATAGCAACCTTTTCTTTTGTGATGAGAAAGTTTAAGTTGTACCCTCCTAAATTTCAAGTATAAATTACAGGGTTATTAACTATAATCATCATGCTATACATTAGATCCCCAAACTTACTCATCTTATCATAAACATATTGAAAACCATATCCAGGTGTGTGTATATATACATATTTGAATATGTTTCTATGCATGTAGAAAGAACACGGAAGGATTACACTTCTATATCATTTGAATTGCTAAAACAATCATTATAATAAGAGAAAAACAATTAAGTGCTAAAAATAACATGTGTGAAAAACTATCTTTTTAAAATCAATCCTGAAGTCCTATCAAATCATTTCAGTGTCTACTTTTTAAAATTGTTCCCTAAAGGTAGCATGGCAGAGTAGAGCAGAAAAGTGGATAAGTGGACCATAAATATGCATTTGGATGTTGATAATCACCAGCTGGGTGAACTTGAGTGAGTAACTCCCTCTGAGCTTTGCTCATTTATGAAATGATTGAATTGAACCAAGTAACCACTGTGGTCTCTTCCTACTATCAAAACACTTTTGGGTTTTACATAAGCAAAGCTTAAATTTTATGGACACATTTAGAGTTATTTCAGATGTCTAAACCATTATAAAGATGTTGTGTGAGCTAACTTTATAAAGACATCTGTATTCTTATAAAATAGTAAACTTCAAATTGGTGCTGATGAAGTCTGAGGTGATAGCAGTGCCCTTTCTATAATAACACTATTGGCCTTTGAACCCCAAATCACATGCTTTTTGGGAGTAAGGCCCTTGTTGGATCATGGCTATGTCACTTCAAGCACATTATATGCCCATTAAATATTTGTCAAATGACTGAACAAATCTAAGTCTTTTAATCTCAGGGATCTATTTCGTAAAGTGGAAAATGATTTGGCATCAGTTAGGGGGGAAAAAACTAAAATAAATAAATAACAAAGAACTCTGTTTTACTGAATTTTTGTTTTATGTTTAACAGTCACTGAAGAACTCTGTACTTTCTTGCTGCCGATTAGAAAACAGCCTTTTACCATCCTTTATAAAATACCAACCCATTTTATAGTTGCAATAAAGCACACCAATGCATGTGGCAGGACTGATGGATGTATTTCTCATATGAATTTGAAGCGTAAGATGTATGTATCTGAACTACAGATTAATCAGCACGCAAGCGTAGGCCGTTGTGTCTTACTGATTAATTATGCTGAATGATGGATGCAGGTTTAATCACTTTACCTGATAGATGTAAGGAGCTTGCAAATGACAGTTACCATATCATTTCTCAGTAAACTGCTTTCTAACCAACTTACTGAAGAAACTTCATGAAGTTGATATTCCACGAAAAAAAAAAGTACACAATTTTCTGTGCTTAACTTTACATTTCTCCTAACTTACCTTAAAGTGTGTTCTCTGACCAGAAATAATCATACTATGTAAATGCAGTAATTACCGAGGAATTTCATTGTCTGGAGGTCTGTCTGTCTCATCCTGAAATTGGAAAACATAATTTAAAAGGTTAATAGGATTCATAACCAGGTTTATAATGTTAAGGAAATTACTCTTTTCTTAGGCTAGAAAACCATCAACTCATAGTTTAAATTACCTGTCTAAAAATAAAGAGGGAGAAATATAACTACAAATCAGCTCTTCTGCTCTTAGGGGAATGCTAGATTGATTCATACAAGAAAAATGGAAGAGCTAATTGATCATTTTTCTAACTGAAAAAAACCAAAATGTGTTACATAATTAATATTTTCCTTCTAGGAAATTCAGTAGATCCTCCCTAAGGAGAAATTAAATAATGTCTGGACCTATATGGTTTAATAAATTGATAGCAACCCCTCCCACCACAGTTGAAGTTAGTCCTTTCCTCCCTTTCATTCATTGCAGTTTGTACTCTATCATAGCATTTTTCACACTATGACAATTTATGAGAGTTACCTGTGTATATTGCTTTTCCTTTCATTAGAGCGAGTGGTGATGTGGAAAACAGTGGCTATTATATCTTATTGAACACTGTCCTTCACAATGCTTAAATATACACAATGCTTTAAAAATGCCTAATAGGTAGTGGATGTGCAATACAATCTTACTGAATACAATTGAATGAATTTATAGATTATACAGAGGAAAAGGTTAATTTGTCCATTTCTGATTTCCCCACCTCTTTTCAGTTGTAGGTAAACTGCCTTAAACCCCAATCCCACTAGGGCCCGACCGAGACAGGATACCTGTACAGGGCTTCCCTCTAATGTGTGGGCAGAATATTACCAGCGAATGCCTTCTAAGATGCAGTTTGTCTTGCTCTCTGCCTCTTTGTACAGCCATTTATGAGTCTTCCACCATGCTGTCCTTCGTGAAGGAGCACTCCAGTCTCCCTGCAGGGCATTAGGCTGAGCCTGCTGACTTAACTGGGTAAACCAAGGGGTCCTTGCTGTTGGGCCTACCTTCCTGCTGATGCTCTCTGCTGAAATCCAAGCCTAAGGTGAATGTGACTAATGACCTTGCCTAGAAACATCAATTGCTGACCCTGCTCCTATTTTCATACCAAAGCTTAAACTCTTTCTACCATTTACACTGTGTCTATACCAGCCATGGCGATGTTCCCACAGTCACCATCATTGGGCATCAGCCACTGTTCAGGGAATTAAAGCAAGGTATAGGAATTAGAGTCAGTGCATGGCTGGTTTGAGACTTCAACCAAGTTGAAATTGTGAGCAACATTTATGGTGCTGTCTTTGAAAGGTAGAAGAATTAGTGGCAGAATGTCAGGTTGAAATGGCTTTTTGTGTGGCAATTACAAGGTGAGTGGAATCACAATGTTGAGAGTCAAAGAGTTTTGGGTTCTTTAGCCAATTTCTTTTCAACTTCTCTAAGCTTCAGTTTCTTCATCTATTCTATAGAGATAATGGGGGCAGGAGGACTCAGAATATGAAGTGTCTAGTTTGTTAGTGCTTAATAAACATTAACTATATTCATTTCCTCTTTCCATATAAGATGAGTGAACTACAGTTTACAATAATGGTCAGAGAAGTGGAGATAGCCCTGGAAGTCACCACTGACCAGGAAGTGGCCGGAAGTATTGAATTGAAACTTAAATGGCTCTAACTCAAGACACAGAGTGAAAGGAGAACAATGAACTTTTCTCCTGGTGGGGAGTGAGGGGATTAACCCTAATAGACTTTGAAAGATGTAGTGATAGGCCTAGACCTGTGCTTTTGCCAACTCTGGTGCTGCAAGGCAAAAGCTAGGCACACAATGAAAACAGCACTTAAAGACATGTCTGAGCTTAACATTTTTGATACTGAGGTAAAGAGTGCAACTAGAGGCTCATGTACCTTATGTCTAAATATTTAAAAGTTATAAATCAAGCTACAAAACTGTTAATTAAAATATTCTCTATCCTCTGACATTTAAATATACCTTCATATAACTGTGCATGTTAAGTTTGAATCTACTATTCTTGGACACTTTGGGGTTTTCTATAAGAACATGGTGGTACAGGAAGAGCCATCTCCAGTGCCCAGCCAGGTCTTCATGGGGAGGGCTTTGCTCCATTCCATTGTCTTGAAAAGGAAGCCCTTAATGGCCCCTTGGGCATGAGGATGAGCAAGTTGGTAGCTTAGTCTGCCTTCAGGTGGAAACACTCAAGAGTTATCTTGCACAGGCCCTGGAAACTGACTCAGGTGACTGTCACCAGGACACTCCCTTTGTCTTATGCTCTTCTGGTTTCTGCTAGAAGGGAAGTAGGACAGGGTCCTCTAAAGCCTCTAAAGGGAAAGGAGCCCTTCTTGCCTAAGTCTAAGGGCAAGATACTTAAGGTGTTGGCTTTAGGAACAAAAGGGAAGATCACGCCATGAATACAGAATCAGTAGACCCAGGTTACAAAGCAGAAAGAGTTATTCCCAGAGATATGATATCTTTCAAGTTGTTGCCAATGCAGGGACTCAGGGGAATTTTGCACTTGGGTGTTTTTTTAAATCTTTTTTTTACCCTTTACTTTCCCCATTTTCTTCTCTATCTTTATTCCTGGTATCTATGCATGTACACTATCATCTTATATATGGAATTAGATTTTGGGGGGTCCATGAGCAGGGTAGGTATGCAGTCCTTGAGTCTTTTTAGTAGAAAAATTTAGACATAGCTTTTATTTAGGTAATCAGACAATATCTACATGTGAAAGGCCTTGAATTGGTCTTAAAAATTATACAGCCCACCTAAGACTCTCTGACCAAAACTCTATCTACCAAAGACAATAAAAGATTTTATAGTTTTAAAATAAAGATTTACAACTTCTAAAAATCATATGTTATTCTTTCTACTTCCCACTTAGGGGACTGTTCCAAACCAAAGATGAGAAATTAGCTGTCTATTCAGATTACTACATTTGGGAAAGAATTCTGAAAAATAGTTACTTAGAAACTAAGATTTTCATTATTTAGATTATTATGCTGATATGATTAAGATGGTAGTTCTTTATAATGATAATAATCACAGCAATTTAAAGTTGGTAGGAACTTTAAAAATCATCAAAATCATTGGAGTGGGAGGTATATTTGAAAAATAAAATTAAGTGGTTGAGTGAGTTGTTCAAAGTCATAGAGGTAGAGATTAGGGTGGAACCTAGAATTCATTTCCAGCTAAGGGGGATTTTCTCTGTAATGAGGTATCAACTGTAGGACTATGAATAAAAAGTATGTTCCCAGATTATTTTGGAAGATTTAAGATAAAGGTAAGAAATGGTGGAAATAAAAGAAGGTGAAAGTAAAGGAATGGGAATCTTCACATGCTTTAGGGCTGTGGTCCCCTACCCCCAGGAGCAGAGCAGTACTGGTCCATTTCCTGTTAAAGACCAGGCCACAGAGCTCCTCCTCCACTCCAAGGGAGAAAAAAATGTCTTCCATGAAACTTAAGAAGTGGGTGGACAAACAGCAGGATGTGAGCAATGGGCAAGTGAGAGAAGCTTCATCTGTATTTACAGCCACCCCCCATCTCACAGCTTGAGTTCTGCCTCCCTCCACCCCCACCCCAGAGGAAAACTTGTCTTCCATGAAACCAGTCCCTGGTGCCAAAAAGGTTGGGGACCTCTGTTTAGGGTATATAGCATGAGGATTTCACATGAGTCAGACACATACAGAAAAGCTGCCATGTCTTCCAGAACCTGGCGCCTTATCTGGAAGTGTTTGTGTATCATTTTCTTAAAGAAACTGGTTCATTTAAAGACAAAAAGAAAAGAGGCAGAAAGCATAGCAAAAAGAACACCACCCAAGAATTTAAAATATTCAACAAACCCAGTCTGAATTTGGTTTTAATCACCATCTCACCCACTTGTAAATTTCCATGAAGTACTGAACTCAAAAGGCACCACTGGAAGAGGAGTCAAAGTCTTTTCCTCTGCAGAAATCACTTTCTGAGTTGCTCTTTGGGGGAAAGAGCTGGGCTAAATGAGACCAAATGCCTTGCATGTTTGATGTGAAGTGGATCTGACAATGACACACCATGGAGGTGCCTGCATTGGTAGCAAGAGCTCGGGCTGCTAAGCAGAAAGCTAACGGCATAGAAATCTGTAACAACAGAGAATCAGCCCCAATAGGATTAATTCAGGATAGCTTGTCACTGGAAACTCTTGGACCAGTTGTATAAGGAGGACTGCCTGGGATTACAAAATGGCCTTGAACTTGTTTTTGGTTGTAACTAGCTGTCTGAAATTGCCTTCTAAATTTGTCACCCAGGAGGATGAAGGATTGAAGGAAAACTGATGGAAGGTTAGCACATTTTCCACTGAGATAGATTTCCTCTTATATAAGGAAATCCCAAGGGCATGTGTTCCAAGGAATATGCTTGCAATATTAATTCAGGTGAAACAGGAGCTTCTATTTTCAGGGAAAGCCTATTTGTCACAAATTGGACACTGACCTGGCAGCCCATCAATAGCAACTCAGGTGTAGAACCTTGATAAATTGGAAAAGCAGCATCATTCCAGACGAAAATGTTGGAAGCAGATTTCTGGCTGCCCTGCATGAAAAAATCAAATGTGTTTTACATACAATACATAAAAAATAAACAAAGATTTCTCCCGGAATCACAAAATAGTAGAGGTGGAAAAAGTCCTTGAGATCATGTATTTCAAGGAGTTGATTTTAGAAAAGAGTAGCAAAGTTCCAGAAAAATTAGGGGACAGAACCAAGATTAAAGAGTTAATAAAGAAAGGCAGTATATAGAGTAGTGGTTTAAGGAGAATGTGCTAGTGTCAGACTGCCTTGGTGTGAACATCGGCCCCGCTAATCACTGGCTGTGTAACTTGCAAGTAACCTATACTTTCTGCATGCCAGTTTTCCTATATACATATGGGGCTCATCGTTTCCATGAAGTATTTAATACAAAAGTGGTTTTCACAGTTGTAAGGTAGATGGTAAATAATCAGTAAATGCCAATTATTTAAAAAGAATCATAATAAGATGGTGATGATAATTACTTCTATATGTGGCAAGATAAAAATCAGTTCAAGGATTTACAAATCTGTCCTCTAATATTCACCAATAACTTCAAAGTCAAATTTAACTGTAGGCAAATGAAGTTAAACGAAGTTAAAGAGACTTTCCTACTGAAAGCTAACTAATTATCGACAGGATAAGGATAGAGTCCTGTTGAAAGAGTTGAAGAGACTGAGATGGATAAAAGGATAATTAAAGGACTTAATAATATGTGGAACAATTAAAGTTAAATGAGCATGGAGTTGTGAACAGATGTCAGCCTAAGAGAGGGACCTAATGAATAGTCACAAAACTCTGTCTTCAGTCTTATGCAGATAATATATTCATAAATACCCTCAATGTAGATATAGAATATATGCTTATCAATTAGGAGAATGAAACTATATCAATAAGGCCCGATGTTAGCAGGCTAAAGCCACAAGATAAATCTAGGAGGAAAATTAAGTAGACATATTCAGACTTAAAAAATCAACTGCATAAACAACAAAGGAGACATGTTTTTGTAGTAGCACATGTCAAAAACATTTAGCAGATTTACCTTCCATTATACCTAATATGATGCAGAACTCAAAGAGCAAATTTATTGATCAAAAATCCATGCATCTAATGAAAATTTGAAAAGTGGATACTGTTGCCTCTTTGGAATAATATCACAAGGTAGATATCAAAGTTCTCAGGAAATAAATGATGAGAACAGTAAAAGACATAAAATAAAAGCTGATATCAAGAAAGAGGTTAGACAAAATGTAAAATCAATGCAGTAGTAAAGATGAAACTGGAAAGCACATAAAAGTGAAAAAACAAAACTCTGGAAAAAACATAGTAAAGGCAGAGGGAATAGAAAAGAAGAAAAATTTTAAAAAGAAATGGAAGAAAGAATAAAAATGAATGAGACAGAAGAATGACAGAGAAGACAGGCAGAGGGAAATCCAGCATACACCTAAGTAAGGACTTCAAAGAAGGAAACAGTCTTACTGGGGAAAAGATGAGTTATAATTCAAGAAATTTTTCCTAAAATAAAAGTAGACCCGAATCTACATGCTGAAAAGCCTGTGCCAAACATCTGCAGTGGATATCAAGATGTATGGACTGCAAAGTACAGGATCCCTTTAATAGCCAGAAAAATACTTTAAAATATGAATGATGAGAAGATGCACAGGAACACTCAAATTTGTAAGATTGTTGACCAACATCTCAGATTAAAGAAAGTATAAGCTGAGAAAACTATATCAAGTTAAATGATTCTTCAGCTATAAAGGCTACAGGCAAATGGTGTTGAATATATAAGAACTGAGTGAAAATTACTCCCATGAGTCTTTCTGGGGAAATTACCAGAGGAAAAGTTCAGCCTCCAATAATGGCTATAGGAAAACCATAGCAACAAAACAGGAATGGAACATTGAATGATTAATATCTGGGAGTCAAAAAGGATATCATTTAAAGCTGACATAAAAGCATTTAACTCTTCAATGATAACAATCAAAAAAGACTTTTAAATTGACCAAAATTGAAGGGTAGAGAAGAGGAGAAGGGAAAAGAAGTATGAATATGCTAATTGTAGTATCTCTTATAGAACAGTAATTCATTTTTTTAAAAGTATTACATTTATTACACAAATGTATTAGTTTAAATAAATGCAACTTTCTGAATATCAGTATTACACACATAAACACAGAAAAATGAAGAAAAGAAAATACATGGTAAAACACACACATGAGAAGCTATGAATAAAAATATCATAAAATATTTTGACATAACATGGCAAAATGTATGTCATTATTTTGTTAAAATTAAAAAGACTATTACAGAATAAAATCTAATGCTTTGCAATATACCCACATTAAGATTGTATATTAATAGAAATATTATTTTATTTAAAATAATAATCTATTAATGCTCTGGCCTTATCTTTTATTACCCTTCTTTCGTTTACTCCATTCTACCACTGGCCTTCTTGATGTGTTGAAACATGGCAGACTTGCTATTGTCTCGAGGCCTCTATACTTGTGTCCTTTGCTTTCTCTGAGACCTTCCTAAAACTAGCCACCTCATATTCTTTAGGACTTTACTCAAAGGCCTCCTTCCCATAGAGAGACTTTCTCAGCCAATATTTAGAAAGAAATGGGTGAGAGAAAAGAAAACAACTTATAGATAGATAGATAGATTCATATCTCTCTATACATACATAATACATACATATATCCACACATACATATGTATGTATTGGTTTGTACATGTGCATAAACATTTTTTGGAAGATTAAAAAAGAACTTAAAAACTGTTGTCAGAGGGAAGAACAATGAGAAGTGGAGCAGCAATGATGGAAAGAGAATTTTTCACTTTATACCTGTTAATATTTTGGATATTTGAATAATGTATCTGTATTATGTATTTTTAAAATATTTTAACATGATGATGCATTGTGAAGAGAACCAAACTAATTTCACAGGCGACAAAAAGAAAAGTTGAGACATTTTTGGTTAACATGAGTTTAAGACTAGGAGAAGAGATTAGCCAGGAGCGGTGGAATTGATGGATCTCTAGGTAGACGATAGTGATGAGGATGATATTAAGATCGAGAATCAGCAAGTATGTACACAGAGGTATAAGCCATTTGGTAAAACTGAAACACAAAGGGCAGGATAAAGTGTGGGAGAGATAGGCTGAGAAAACAGGCCAAGTGTATATATTATATTAGGAATCTTTCCTCTCCTTCTGGAAGCAATAAGAAGTCACTATAGAGTTCTAAATGAAACCTTCAAAAATATCACTACATATCAGAAGTTAGCTGAATTTTTCACATAGTACCACCTATAACAACTTATAATATAAAACTCTTAAGGTCATCTCAATTAAGAAGTCTGTAATAACTAATTTTGACAAGAATGTGAAGAAATACTAACCTGCATGCTTCTAGTGGAAGTATATTGATCCAGCCACTTTGGATAACATTCTTTCAATATCTATTTGAGTTGAAAGTGGGCATTTCATACATCCCAGTAATCCTACACCCAAGTTTATATCCAAAGGAAACACTCATGTAAAAGCACAAGGAGGCATGTACAGGAGGTTATTGCAGCATGTTTTGTAATAGCAGATCTTGGAAAATACCTAAGTCTCTATATTAAAAAAAGGAGAGATGAATATATTATGGCATATCTAAAAATACAATTCATAGTTAAAATTGATAAATGAAAAGTCACATGATAGCACATAGCAAACAAATATATCCATAATTAAGTCAATCCAAGTAAATGGAGTCCATATACCTTGCATTTATATCTTGTTGTTGCTGTAATGAATTATCACAAATTTAGTGGCTTAGAACAGCAAAACTTTATTATAGTTATGGAAGTCAGAAATATGAAAAGGGTCTCACCGGGCTAAAATCTAGGTGTTAGCAGGACTGCATTCCTTCCAGAAACTCTAGGGGAAAATTTGTTTTCTTGCCTTTTCTAGCATCTAGGCTGCCCACATTCCTTGGCTCATGGTCCATTCTTTGTCTGTAAAACCAGTACCTACTGGTCAATCTTTCTCATATCACATCACTCTCACATTAACTCTTTTGCCCCTTCCTTTTTTTTTAAAGATCCTTTGTGGTAACACAGGACTACCTGGATAATCCAAAATAATCTCCTTCTTTTAAGGTTAACTGAGTAACAACCTTAATCTCATCTGCAACCTTAATTTCTTCTTGCCATGTAATATAGTATGTGTGCAGGTGCTGGGGAATAAGACGTTGACATCTTTTGGTTTGGGAGGCCATAGTTCTGCCTACAAGATACCCCTGGTAAGTGATGCTCTGTTGCACTCTGATGCATCATCATGAGATAAGATCTGTTCAGGTATAATGATGAGTAATAACAAAATGCTTATTTATTTAGATATTACTATACAAGGTAACTCCAGAAATCAGACAGCACAGAATCAACAGCAGTCTTCACCATCTGTAAGCTATTTAGAATTCAAGGTTCATAGCACTTAACTAGGCTCAGTGAAAATATGAAATAACCTTTTATTGAAACCCACAACCTAATTGGAGATGTAGCCAGCCAAAGTCAAAATAATATCCATAGACCAATGTGCAATTCACATTGATCAGTGCAGATGAGACAGAGTAAAATAGCACGAAAGGCCTTTCTTTGCTGAGTTTTCATGCAATTGAAGTCCAATTGCTAAAATCAAGTGGGTGAAGAAATCAATGGTTGCTGTTGATTTCCCAGGCTCCTGCTACCCTGAGATGATTTGGAGAGTTGCTGTTCTATCAAACTGATCATGAATAAATGACTGGATGCTCAATTCCATTTAGAATGTCTGTTTAAATACTGATTTGACCTCTGAGAGTGTACTGGGGGTTGAGTAATATATGTAAAACTGTCATTAAAATTGCATACAAAGCACAAGTATCTTGGCTAATTTTCTTCCCTGCAATCCTGAGAGAAAGAGAAGACATAGCAGTCAGTCATCAATAAGATGAGACAGAACAAGGAAATTTTAGCGTTCATTAAAAAAAAATGTGAGTCTCTGAATTCTACCAAGAGAATTAGCACCCCCTGCTAAAGCACTTTATGTTATTTTCAAAAATATGATAGAAACTAAAGCTCTTAAAACATGAGACTACTGAATGCCATTCTGTTTTTGCACAGGAAATTAAGGGTGTAGAGAGTGTAATATAAACGTCTTCAGAATTTCACAAGAAACACTCAGTGGAAATCCTTTTAAATTTATTTGGTGGTTTACCTCCACCCCAAGGGGTTGAAAATCTCAAGCACAGGAAGCAGTTACTGATTTGCTGCTTGATCCAAAGCCTTTGTTTCAGTGACAGCCCGTTTGACCCATTTCATTTCTCTAAATTGCTTTCTAATTTCCTGAGGACAGCAGTGTTGTTGTGTTGTGTTCAGAGCATTATGTGTTTCAAAATGCTGAACTCTCTCATTTTGTTTTATATTTCATCTTAGTTGGAAAGTCAGCTTTCCTTTAGAGGGACAGATTGTAGGTTCACAGAGTCAAAGAACCTGAGTTTAGTCCCTGCTCTGTTGCTCACCAGTTGTGAGAATTCACTTACCCTTTCTGGGCCTGAGCATTCAGTGTCTATTTAAATAAAAGATTGAACTATATTTTCAAAGGATGTTTTCTGTTCTGAAATTCTATATTCTTTCAAGCTATTATTATGGGTGCTTAGCACCAACAAAAATACCTATTGTCATTATTTGTAAAATGAAAAGGGGGATTTGCTAATTACAGAAACATTGATCCATCCACACATAATTATTTTGAACAAAATAACATATTTTGTTATTAAACAGCCAATAGAAGTGATGTCAGCAAAATGGTAAAATAGAAGGTCCCTAGCTCATGTCCCCCCACAGAAACAAAAATTGGGCAGCCATCTACAGACAAAAGTGCCTTTGTGGGAGTTTAGGGGCCCAGTAGGAGGTTGTAAAACATTGGTGGAGCATAAGGCTGAAGAGGGTTCCTTTGAAAAGGTATGCACATGCCTCAGTGGTAGCTCTGCCTACTATGGTCTGGTTTGCAGACTTGAAGTGGCCCAACCTCTGGTGGAGTTGGCTCCAACTCCACTTGTCCATAGTCCTGCTACCAGTTTATCTGCCAAGGGATTCAAAAGGAACTGTATCCATCTATGCCCATGGTAAAAGGCCTGTTAACCTTGAACCCAGTTGGATTCCTAAAATAGCTCTATGACCTACTTTACCCTTGTGCTACCATGATCAGGAAGCAGTACTGACAAGAAATGCAGTATGAGACACATTCATCCATGACCCTGGTGGCAGGCCTGCCAATCACAGTTCCAACTGTGGGCACTAAAGCAGCCCTGTGACCCATCTCCAGCCCCATGCTACCATAGTTTGGTGGAGTCCTTCTCCCTTAGGGACCTAGGGGGAGATATGTCCATTTGTAACTCCAGTAAAAGGACTGTCAACCTCTATCTTGGCTTTGGGCACTGAAGTAACCCTGAGAATCAGTTTTAACTCCCTCTTTCATGGTCTAGGGTCAATTTGGCCTGTGCAGGGACTCACCAGGAGACATGCCCATTGTGCCCTCTGTAACAGCACCACTGATGTCAGACCCAACTGCAAATCCTGAAGTAGCTCAGTAACCTAGCTCTTGTCCTGTTCTTCTGTAGTCCAAAGGCAGTCAAGTGATTTTCCCAGAGACAAAGTGGGATCTATGCCCCTCTATTCCCTAAGTAACAGGCTCACCATCTACAAACTTGACTAGGGACTTGGAAGTGACCCCATGACTTAGCTCCAGCTTTGTCTAACTGTAGTCCCAGAAGCAGCCTTATCCACCTAGGGACCCAGGAATAAATATTCCTCCATGCACCCAGGTGACAGGCTTGCCAAACATAGAGCCAGCTGAAGACCTGACAGCAGCCACATAGCTCAGCCCTAGCCCTGCTCAACTGCAATCCCAAAAGAAGTCCCATCTGTTCAGGGACCCAGCAGAAAAGGGTCTTTACCTGAAAAAAAAATCAGTCTTGCTCCTTCAAATACAAAGGCACCAATGCAAGGTTACATGAATCATGGAGAAGTAGACAAACAAAGGAAACTAATAAAGCTTTAGTAACCAACCCTAAAGAAAAAGAGATTCAAAACTGCTTGATAAAGAATTCTAAATAATAATCTTAAAGAAGGTAATGAACTTCAAAAGAATACATATAGACAACTAAATGAAATCAGGAAAACAGTACATGAACAAAATTAGAAGCTTAATAAAGAAATAAAAAACATAAAATGAACCATACAATAAAAACTTTTGCAGCTGAAGAATACAATAAGAATACAAAAACTGAAAAATTCAATAGAGAACTGCAACAGTAGACTCAATCATGCAGAAGAAATAATGAGTAAACATGAATATGGAGAAATAAAAATAAAAAATATTAAAAATTGAAGAAAGCATGTGAGACTCACAAGACACCATCAAGTGAGCCATTATATGCATTATAAAGGTACTAGAAGGAAAAGAGAAATAAATGGGAATAGAGACCTTATTTATAGAAGCAACAGCTGAAAATTTCCCAAATTATATTCAACATATTAATAGTACTGGAAGTCCTAGCCAGAGCAATTAGACCAGGAAAAGAAATAAAAGGCATTCAGATTGGAAAGGAAAAAATAAAATTATCTCTGTTTGCAGATGACATGATTTTACATGTATAAAACCCTAAACACTCAACAAAAAACTATTGATATCACACTAGAAATAATATGGGGATTGGCAGAAGATGTTAGAGAAATATGAAAAAGGGAAGATGAATTATAGAAAAACAAAGAAACTATATTTTGGAATGGTCTGAGTGAAATGGAACCCTGCTACACAAATCAGTTTGAAAATAATCATGAATCCACATATATAAATAATGAGAAAGGAATATATATATATGTGTGTGTGTGTGTGTGTACACGTGTGCATGCATGTCCATGTGTGTGCATCTATATATACTGAGAACAAATAATGAGAATTAAACTTGTCTTGGAAGATGGGCCAAGTTGTGGAAAATTCCCCATGTAAGTTTTATATTTTTAAATAATACCCCTTCTCTGTGCCCCATTGGTCCTTTCACTCAGTCTTTTCACTCCTCTCTATCACTGACTGCCACTTGAGACAGTCAAGAAGAGTAGTTTTCTGCTATTCCAGTTATCTTTCTCCCAAGAATCCACCAGCCATTCTTGTCTTTTCCCTCCTCAGATTGGTTTACCATCAAATAGAACTTATTATAAAAAGGCAAATGAGGGGGCAAAATGCAAAGAGCTGTGAGGGGTCTGAGCTAACAGGTTAGCCTGCCACAGTCTCATGGGTGCTGGCAGAAGATATGAGACCTCTGGGACAAATAATAAGGACTTTATTACTCATGGCAGTAACAGTAAGTAGAGGAGTGGCAATTTTTATGGATTTCCTGGCCCAAATTCCAACAGGGAAATGCAAAGAGTGCCAGGTGACACCTACTCCCATAGTGGGTTGCATCACAGCAGAAGAACCTCAAGCTTATGCAAACTGAATCTTTCATACTGCACAGTCAAAATGCCTGCTTTTTGACTCAAAGGAAGTCATTACCTTTATGATATTTAGTAAACAAACCTGCCATTGG